ACCTCGCGAACACATATTACATTTGGATTCAGCCTAGCCCACCCGCCGGTCCGCACTACACCATCATATGTACTTTTGTGGGTTAATCAGTGCACAATCTTGACCATGCTGCAGAAATATGATGGAAGAAACCTGGCCTAGTTGCCAAGAATATAGCCCTGCTCATGCGTTGCAAGGCCCCAAAAAAACTTTTTTTTTAAGTTTGGGACCCCAGCCACCCTAACATGGCTTTATATGTGCTATTTATACCTCACTCCAAGCAGGATTATCCACTCTCTGCCAGCTGGACAATTCATACAGGGCTGAATATGACTGGACAATTGCTGGACACCTTGGAACGGTCCAGATGCTGCCCAGCAGTGGCGCTGGCCATTTTCGTAGGACCTGTCCATTGTCCAGCAGGCCTCACTAGGTACATATTTTTGTGACCGAATTAAGTGTAATTAGGGGGTGGAAAAGGTAACCTGAGGTGTTGTTCAAACCGATTCGCCGTCAGGCCGGAGAGCAGCCAGTTTCATCTGATCTTCATGTGGATATGGCACCGGTGAAAGATTCAGTATACATCGTCAGCCGCCGTAGCCTCAGGAAAGTCCCTTGGGGTAATCATGCATTGTCGCGAGCGATACCTGAGCTTGAAGGCAGCCTGGATAGTCCCGAAGAGGAAGCCCCGTGTGGCGTAATCGAACCAGTCGAGCGATCCAGAGATGCTTCGTCCCACGTTATCCACAGCCCACAAGGATTGCTTGATGTTGTGTTCATGAACAGCCATAGCAAACGAGAACCAAGACACCTTGTGGCGCAGCGAGATCAGGCGACCAGGCCGACATCCTTCTCTTGGAATTGCATTACCGAGCCACGAGAAGTCGCCTGGGGGTCAGCCTTGCGTCGCTGGGAGCCGAGTGTTAATCGCCGATAGTGGAAGACCAGGCTGGAGGTGAAGTGGCTTAATGATCGTGTGTGGCGTACCCGAAGAAGTCTATGTATGCGTTCGTTCTTCGCCCTTATAGCCGCAGTCAGGGCCTGATGTCTTTGCGAGGCATACCGAATGCTTGTCAGATAAGGGGCGCCATCCCAGAGACCGAACCCGAAGCAATGTGGCTGAGGTCTTGATGTGGCGTAACGGACCGCGATGGATATATGCGTCGGATCTTGGTCGGTTTAAGCTGCAGCACATGTTCAGCCATGCTACGGTGAGCCGTGTGCCCTGAAAGGACAAAGGACGGGCTTACTCAAACCAAAACCAGAGAGGAGACCGATGCTTTGTGTGGCGTAGCAAGCGGCGACAGATCCGGCCGTACTTCGTCGTCGACAGCACCAAACGCATACATACATGCCATCCTACATGAGATATCCCAACAACAGCAGCGCCAGTATAACCAGACGAGTGAGAGGGGGTTGGGGGTGGAGGTACGAAAGAAAGGACAAAGAACTGTGTGGCGGCGCCACACGCTCGCGTTAAATGCAGTCGCGTCATTCACGTGACCGTCCCACGCGCTCCCTTGCCCGTGTATATCTTCTGAGCGCTGCGATACCGGGAGCGCGACGACAACCCCGACATGTTTGAGGAGACGATGTAAGTGGTCAGATTTTCTGGTGTGTTGTACCTTTTTCTGACACTTGTCACCCTTTTTACCCCGCTGCAGCGCCGGCATTCGCGAAATCCGGCAACATGTCAACATCGACGAGGACTACCAGACGGTAGTCGAAGCGGAGGAGGCGATGTCACTCCGTGAGCAGCAGAGGCGGCAAGAGCTCGACCAAATGCATGCGAAACTCAAGTGTACGTCTATTCTCCCTCGTGCACCTCGAAGTTCTCATCATCTGGGCGTGGTTCGCGTATCGACAGCGTTATCCAGGGTCCTCGACGCTGCGCGGAAGTCCGCTACGCGACCGCCCACACTACCTTCTGCAGAGCAACACGCGCGAATGATGGATCAACTGACCGCAACGTGAGTCCAGGCTACGCGGTTTTGCATGTCTTAGCTGACCCACGCGTCCAGCCGTCTCGCGTTGGCGAAACAGATCGACGAGCAGGAGGCCGCCCTCGCTCAGAAAGAACGCGAGCTAGCGCGTCTACAATCCCTCGAAACAGATCTCGAGAATCCGGAACACGAACCGGCATATGAACACGCAGAGTCTCTGGCGGGCACAGCGATCCGGTTGGAGATATACAAAGGGATGGGCTTCGAACCTGTTTTCGACGAACACGGGGAGATGACCAAGATGCTCATACGTACGTTGCACCTCTCCTTGTGTCCTTGGTTGCGTGCATGAGCATAGGTTTACGACGTTCTGCACCAGGGTCGTTATCTGGTGATGTCCATGTCGTCGAGATAAATGTACACGCGAACGATGATGAGCTACGGCAGCAACGTCAAATGATATGGAAATTGGCGACGACTTGATTCACTCTCGTGTCATGCATTCCTGCCGTGTCGTGTGGAAGGAGGAATGTTGTAGACGCCAGGAGCCGTTCCGAGAAACGTAGTCTGGCAGCAGCACGTGCGGTGTATTCATGTACCCGCCCATGCTCGACCACTCTCTCCACTGTTTGGCTACACTTCGTGTGTCCGGTGGAGGTGAGTTCGGTCCGCATACTCTTATCTCCTGTATTGCTATCCTATGCACGGCTACAGGTCCTAATATCGAGGATGCCAAATTCCACCCCATCATCACTCGACAGTCCGATCAACTTTCACGACAACCTTGCCTTTCGCTCTATTGGTCAGGAGGCGCTCATACGCTTTCAGCACGTCCTCGAAAGCGAATACGGAGTCGACGACTGGTTTGACCTTCCCCTGCCTCACGAGCTCACCCAGCTCTTTGATGTCTTCTTCGACGGGAGCGAGACGGACGAGATGGTAAGAGTTCTGCGCCCCGCCGAGCCAGGTGGGCAGGAGCGCGGCGCGGAGCGTGCCAAAGATTTGAATCCATTGGGATGACCTGGTGTATCCGATCGGGGGTCAGCATTGCCGCCATGTCAACAAGGGAGACCTGGGGAGGACGACTTACCCGTGAGGCTGAGGCCCCGTGGTGACGTAGACGCCGTTCCGCGCGATGTATGCATGTCCTTGTTTGTACAACGTAGGGTCAACGAGCGCAACGGCGTCGTATAGGACGTGGAACTTGGACGGTGGTAGGTGGGGATGACTAGCCAGCTGTGTCTCAAGCGGCGCTTCCGTATAGTCCAATACCTACAATGTCGGGCGACCGGGGGATGTCGTCAATAAGAGTACAATCGATGATGGTGAATCGCCGGATTACCTCGTCTGCCCCGAGTGATCGCACGAATTCGTGGTTCTTGCGGCTTGCGCTCGCCCAGACGGTGCATCCTTTCGCTTTCGCTATCTGAATGGCGAACGCGCCAACGGAAGAGCTGCCTCCGTTGACAAAGACAGTCATGCCCTCTGCCAGTCCAGCTATGCAAGATATGCTCATATACCAATGAGATGGCTGGCTTGCAAGCGGTCATCCACTCCTACCTGCCTTGAGACCTTGCAGTGCGGTGACACCGGCCAGTGTGAGACCGGCCGCGCCTGTCGGCGGCACGTCGGGTGAGCGAAGGGTCACCCTAGCAGCAGGAAGCCGGGTGTACTGGGCGAGAGCACCTGACAAAAGGATGTTCATGAACTTCTGTCACCAGAGGAATGGGAGTTCCTGGGTACCTTGACTGCTCTTGATCTGGAGGGCAACATCGATGTAGCCGAAGACTTCGTCCCCTTCTTTCACCGAGGTGACGGACGGATGCGTGGCGACGACGACGCCGGCGAGATCATGCTCCGCTGCGGCGTACGGCCTGCGAGCGATGAAGTTGGGGAAGAGTTTCATCATCTTGTAACCCCTGGGACATGATAACCACAGCGGTAGATACGATGTGTCTCTTCCTGCTTGGGTGCCTGTGCTTACACGGGGTTCAGAGCAGCGGCTTGGACCTTCAATATGATCTCGCCGGGTTTGAGATCCGAAGGCGACGGAACGGGTGCGGCTTGGTTGAACTCGAGCGCCTCTTGCGGCGCGCCCCTGCGCACGACCCGCCATGCCTTTTGCGTCTGTGGTAACTGGGGGGACTGGGGGGGACCCACCCTGTGTCAGCTACATAATATCACTAGACTGAAGGAGATCCCGGATCACCTACCAGTGAAGTGCTCGACATGATGCTGCTGCGCTAGCCGGGGAGAATTCGAGTTCAAGAGATGGGAATACAGTGCACGTCTAGTCTCGAAACCAGACGCTCTTAGCGGTACGACCAACTAAACGCAAACGAGCCTGGCAGATTTTCCGCCGCACACTGGAGGACCATGACATGTACTTATAGAAACGGCGGCTAGCGGCCAAGGCCAAGAGTTGCCAGGCAGTGTAGCCGGCTCGTCCGCGCACCTTCCTCCCGCAACTACTCTTCGCCGGGTCCATAGGGACGTATGCCCAACCAAAATACAAAAAACTCCATGTTACGGCTTCGCAGGTATATAAGTAGTGTATGATACGCTCATTTACGATACGATTCTCGCCCCAGCTCAACGAAAGACTTACAACGGTCTAACGTCCGAGCCTCCTGAGAGTTTGTCTGACCGTGTGACAACACTTTCGCTCGACAGAGCTTAGCCCGTCGTCACAGACAGGAACTATACTTCCCCGTCCTGGTCCGTGTGTTTGGACTGCCCGAAGTGGATGACGATTCGCCGTCTCTACCTTCACTATATCACGGTCGGCAAGGATTTCGCAGACGAGTGCGCGTCGTTGCCATATTTGGAGAACCTGGTCCTCTATCGGTCCAGCTACGACGTGGGTAAGCTGGCACCAAGCGCCGTCCCCGACTCCCCCCCCCTGGCCGCTCAACATTCTCAAGTGCACTACTGTAAAGTGCAAGTATAGTACACTACGGAGATAGTTGTACAATAATGTAGTGCGCTACGGAGATAAATGTACAATAATCCATTTTTTATGATGTTACATACTTATTTTACATACAAAATAATACTTCTGTCACAAAGGGAAGGCTTTGAGCGCATCCCTTCCCTTGGGAGTTGTCCAGCACGTCAAACAACAACGTGTCCAGGTCGTAGGCAAAGAGTATGCACGTGTTGTAGGTTTTGCGTGTTGCAGCTGTAAGAAGAGTGTGAACGGCTTGAGATTTAAATTGCACACATCATAGACAGTCGGGATTAGGGCGGGCCAGTTGTGCAGCAGCAGGAAAGGCCTGGGGTCATCTGCAGATGTACAGTGTAATGGCATTCCTTGATGCAGCCAGAAATGCGGCACTCCTGCACTTCCCACATAAAACTTTTCTGCTATCTGACTACCTGGGTATCTTTCAGTTACTTGAGGTATACTGTAGCAATTTTCTTGAGTGAAACCGATGAGAGACTCAAGGACAGACAAATCGAGAAAACGGTTGGTGAACAATGAATTTTGATTGTTGATGCAGTGGCAGTGTCTTCGCACCTGATACAGTTCATCACAACACCGGCTTACTCCGGTAAGCTTCCACACTCAGCCAGGCATGTCATGCACTGTGGCCGACCTCCTCTAACTCTTCAGGGTGTCCTATAGGCCACTCTCATGGATGGATACACTTGGGTCACTAATGAAAAATGGAGTATACACCTATATATATACGACTATGAGCTTTACTGGCAATCAGGTAAGTAATAGGTGCACAATCGGTCATGCATCATACCATCAACACACAAAATAGCCTGATTTCAACAATGCTTGATTTTTAAAAAATCGGGAAATGACTCGATCTGGACACCTCGGTCACCCTATGAAAGGTACCTTATTAGGTGTAATGTATCCACACAGTAATTGTACCTAACTAGGTCAAAATCATGGTGTGCTACGGTCGTGCATCGGTAGTTCCCAAGCGCTGTGGGTGCCAAATGGGACTCCCACTGCCCTCACGGTGCTTTTTGCTTCCTGGCCACGCGATGGTCGTCTACGCTCTCGCTGATTTTAACGTGGCATCTCCACTCGTCTGTGTTCTTTCATGCAACGTAAGCGCACTTGAAGCGCGCAAAATCCAGCTCCATGCACCTTACAACCAGTCCTTGCGGCGCCGGAAGCGTTTACAGGTATGCGGCGTCTCTCAGCTTTCGATCGGACTTGGAAAGAACTGACGGGGTTGCAGTAGAGGATGCACAAGTCATATC